TTTATAACTCAGGAAACTGATCAGAATAGGTGACTGTGAGTGTTCAGCCCTAATATAAAATATCTGATTTAAGGTTCCTTCCTGTAAGGCTCAAAGAACATCTAAGGATTGCAAAAGAATTTCAGAGCTGAAAGTAAATGAGTAACTCTGGGAAAGCCTGCCATTTGAATGTGACAGTTGATCTGGTGTACTCATGAACTTATACATAGCTGCTTTGGTTACCAGCACAAGACCAAAAAACGGTTAACTACATCAAAACTCCAAAAAGATGAAGAATCTCAGGAGATGCCATCTCTAGTTGAGATTATATTAACCTGTGCAATAGCAGGGGGAATATCAGCCATTTTTCGTTGGGTTTATGGACACTAATATGTTGTTCATGCTCCATTAAATGACATAACAGCTAAGTGCATATTTGGATACCATTAATTTGAAATACTAGGATGATTTAAAAAAATAAAGAATCCAGGAAAATGAGATGATCAGGGTTTGCAAACATCCAGAAAACGGGATTACAGGAGGGAAAGTAGGAGTTGATTTGACCAAAATATATACACATGAAATTCAGAAAGACTGAATTGAAAATGTTTTTAAAATATTTCAACCTTCAGAAGCACATTTTATATAAACTTTTACCATATAAAATTAAAATTAATAGTCTTTTTCACTTTAGGTTATACTCACATATTATTACTCAATGAAAAAAGTAAAATGTGCCCAACAAAGCATATGCCAGCAAATAATTGTGTGTTTTCTAATACCAAAGAGATAAAAATTGCACCAAGATTATAGGGTGTTAGCATTTAAAATCTACACAACACCAAATTTTAGCAACTGTTCTTTCATTAGCCATACTCTTATTATCACTTAATATGGTCATAAAATATTCATCATTATTCTACATTGTTTATGGACCTGCTCTAAAGCAGAAACTAAATGATGTATCAAATATATACACTTTCTTCACTTAGAAATTTCAAATAAATACACATGATAAAATGAACACAGATGTTAACTTATGTTATAATCTTGGTGAGAAGATACCATATAGTTACTCTAAAGCACAGAACTAGATAATATTTGTTGGGAGATGAAGGACATCTTTGAGAGAGGAGGAGGTATTTTATTAAAAATACCTCATCACTAAAGAATACTAGACACAGAAAAGGCTGTCTGAGGATGCACAAACACCAGTTAAGAAGATATAAGTTGTGATGCCAGTGCACTGATCACTTACACAGTACACTGAAAATGATTGACAGAGGTCAGGGGCAAAGGTGAGGAGTGCTGTTCAGAAAGCAGTGGATGGTAAATCATTCATGTGTGGATACCTATGGAATACACTGAATCAGAATTCCTACAGTAAGCTAAGTCTGAAAAGGTAGAAGACAGATGAGAACTGCAATGATGTGAGTAGCTCTAACTGTTGCAGGTCTAGAGCCTAATTACACTTTATCCTGGGCTATCTACAGACTTCTAAATAGACAGTATTTTCTCACTCTCCATACAACCAAATATCTTGTGACTAACTGATAAAACATTTGGAATTTATTAACTTAACTAACCCCTGGTTTCCACAAAACTAAGGCTAAGAGTGTTCAGATAACATCTGATGCATATAACTGATATTTCTCTACTTTTCTGTTACTATCTACTTAATGTTTCCCCCAAATGAATTAAGTACCTCAAGTCATTGTTTTCTTTTTTCTGCTACTCTAAAAATTCTATGAAACTGCTCCCATGTTGGAACATGAAATTTGGGGTAAGTAAATTTGTGCTCCCAGAACATAGTCACTCATATTTGACTCAAGAATAAAATATCCCTTTTCCTCTTTGAAATAGGAACCATTGTTTGCTTTTTCATGAATACTTTAATCAGTTAACTTTTATTATATATATTGTGATCAATAATTCTTTGAATTCGTAGTTCTGATTCAGTAGAATTCTATGAGTGGAATGATAAAAACATAAATCTGAAAATATATTAGGCTTTGTTTTTTTACATAAAAATTTGGAAATATGATGCATATACAATGATATTTTAATCAAGTTTGAATATATATGCAAACTAGTGAATAAGAATATAGGTCGTCAACTTATTGAGTAAAAGTTTTCTGAGGGCTATGATCAAAAGAATAGAGGACTTGGACTTGTTTGCAGTGGTAGGAGTCAGTAGATACTCAATGTATTAGCAGTATGGAATGAGATGGCAGAATTCTGAAGATAAGTTAGTTTATGTCTTTGTATTTATGGCATCTCTGTTTCAAGTGGATGAAAACTTGAGCCATTGAGCATTTGAAAGTTATGAGTAGCTTTTTTTATAAGTGTGAAAAACAGGTTAAATAAACAGAGGATTCATATTCATGTAAAACAATGTTTCCATCTGGTGCCAGACTAAAAAGGAGAAAATAAAATGAAAAAAAAAATAATAATAATGGGATAAAAAATTGATAGGGAAGAGGTTCATTCTTTCTTTGTAGTTAATGTGAATTTTACATAAGATAGCTGATGGCAAACCTGAAAAATATTAAGTGCATATCAATGTTTTTATATTAGTTACATATAAGTTCTAAATTAGTTACAATAAAGTTCTAAATTACAATAATGTCATTCTTGAGTATTTTACTTCAGAAGTCCAATATCTCCTGGGCAATGATTCCTACTCTTCTCAGATATTAAAATATCATATATTGAGAATAACTAATTGCTACATTTACTGTATCATTCGTAATCATTCATGAACACTGAGCCAATGTCCTATAAAAGCATAAAAAGATAAAAGCATGCTCTCTGTAGTGACTAAAAAGAATGTCACATTTACCTACATTCCTTAAGAGTTTGGTGAGAAATTTTTAAAGGAATTAGAGTTTATTTTCAACAAATTCGACATGAAAACTATATAATACTCTGACTTCAACAGTAAAGAATATGTGGGATGATACTTGCATTTATTTATTTAAAGAATTCTTTTCACTTAACAACTTACTGTGATTAAAATGGGTTGTTTTCAAAAGTAAGCATGGCAGATCATCCTTAACTTGGTTCTTGGTTATTACTTTTTATTTTAAAATTAATTTTAACCTATTATCTCTGTTCTTTAGTATTTTCCAATTTATACTTTAATAAGATCTGTATAAAATGCTGACATCCTCACTAGTTCACTCACTAAATGTATCATTAGGCAAGGTAGTTTTTGAATATAAAATATTGCTATTCTGAAATGTCAGCTATTTCTAGTTGATTTGAAAAGAATTTTTTTGTATATACTTAGTATACATACTACTTTCTGAACTGTTTGGGTATCAAGTTTTTTTTTTTTTTTTCTTTTTTACGAAGAAGACATGGATTTGGTTTCCTGTGGGTGTCTGGAAGAAGTTTTAGTGGAGAAAAAATCGTGTGTGTGTGTGTGTGTGTGTGTGTGTGTAGACATTCAAATTATTTGTATTTATGAGTGGAATTACTAAATAATAATAAAAATAAAAGAAATTTCACAATAAAGTTGTAACTTTAACATTAAAGAGATAACTGGTAAATATCAGAAAATCTCCATCACTTAAAGTTTTGAGTGTACTCAAAAGCCCAGGAAAACTTAATTAGTTAAGAATTTTAAATATGTACTAGATGACCTCTCACAAGTCATGATATTCATGGCATGTGATTATTATGATTTTAGTCAACTATTTTACTTCAGTTGATGACAGAAAATCTTAGATTTAGACTTCATATGTGAAAAACTTCTGACATAATTCAACACTGCAAATTTCTCCCTTTAATAAACTATGATCTTGCATTTTGTGAATCATCTTAATCTATCAGAATATGTTCAAGGTTTTTAAAAATTCAAACTCAGGACTACATTATTCAAATCATTTTAAAAACAATGGTGTCATCCTGTTTGTCAAGGTAATGAACAGTTATATTTATCATTTTATTTTATATATTTTCCAACAATATACTTCATAAAAATGATTCAATTAAATTTGAGCTTAAAACTTTCTTCTCTTTTTAATTTTTTAAGAAGCTTTTCAAAAATTTTGGTTAATTCATTGTCATTTTCTAGAATTTCTACTGTACTTTTTTTGTAATATATTCTGATATCATATGAATCTAAATGCAAATCCTTTCATATCCTCATCACATGCTCAACCAAAAGATGATGTATTTAGAATAATGATGACTTGATACACTAAATTTGTAAAACATGAGAGTTGCTTGTGTTCCAGGGATTTTCTGTATGTTCAGTGTTAACAGAACTCTATGCAAAGTGTCGGGCTTGAAATACACCGGAATAAATGTTACCTGAGTATTCTGAATCCATAGTTCTAATCTGAGCCAAAAGAAATTACAACAAATGTCAGAAGCAGACAAATGTCATATGTGGATTTTAATTCTAAGACTTGCATGGAGACAGGCAAAGGTGGGCACAAGAGCCCACCTGAAAGTGGTACAAGAGCAAGAATTATAGTTGGGATAGGGTCACACCATTTGGGAGTAGGGGTGGAGCTATGTCAGTGTTGATGTTCTTTTTTTCCACGTTGTTATTCCTCAAACACAGTGTGAAGCCATTGCGATTTGAGACAATCATGCTAAATCAGTTACGGGCCAAGTAAATGAAATGTATTTTGATTGTGTTCAAAGCTGATTTTAATGGGGACAGATAATGGAACGATATACTTTAATGACAAAGGGTGATGGGAAGACACTATAGACTATGAAATCTAAGAACCATCCAACTTGAATGTTCACCCAAATGTATGCATATACACTTGATGGCTGTAACTCTAAAAGAAGTTGTTTAAAGAGCATATGCATGAGCTACCAGAAATTAATGAGCAAAGTTTTAATGAGGTTGCAACTTGGTTAACAAAAGCCAGGCTGGCATCTAGCTCAAATTTTCATCCTGTAGCTTTCTACCTTAGTTAACTAGGAGAGAACAGGAGGTTGGCAGGATGATTGGAAATCAACTATTTTGAAACCTGCCCTATGGGAACTTACTGTACCTGTGTCCACATCCTTCACCTGTTGCCTGGATGGAGCTGGCAGGCTCCGCTTGGAGCTCTTTCAGGGCCAATCCTTTGTCCTGTGGTCCAGGAAAGTCCATGCCTGTCACTACCTCCTCTTCTAGGGACTCCACGTAGAAAAGAGTCCTGCCGGGCTGCTGGGTGCCCTGCCCAGGAGCCCCTTGCTGCAGCCTGGTGGCAACTGGTAGCAACGTTCCATTCAGGGGATTGAAGGGAGAGGATGAAGAGGACGATGAGGATGATGATGAAGAGGAGGAAGGTTTCTTCCAGAAAGCGCTCACACTGCCCTTTTCCTGGTTTTTGAGCAACCGACTCTGGCTAGGTCCCCAGTGCTCAAAGCTGCCTCCACTGTCCGGTTGCAGGCAGCTGCCCCCAGCTGAGCTACCACCAGAGGCCGGCGAGGGATGGCTGAAGAGTTTCCAGCGGAGTCGCAGGATGTGCTTCACATCGAAGTCTTTTCGCCCGGAGCCAGACATGCTTTATGCACCTAGAGCCAAAGGAGTGCACTTCACACACACCAGTAGCTTGGCGAGCTTTCTGGGGAGGCCAGTGGCGTTTGGAGAAAGAGCTGGAGGCTGGATGCTCCCGGTGTACAAGGAGTGCCAAAGGTGGCCAAGCGGACTGCGCGCCTCTCCAGGAGAACACACCAGCAGCACCGTGAGCGCGCTGCAGAGCCTCGCGGCTCAGTCCGGGTCGTTTTCCCAAGACCTGGGCTTTGGGAAATCTGCAGTCTCGCACAGAGGAAGTCCCGGGACACCAGGGGTTTATAAACCAGGAAGAGATTGCAGGGACCCCCGTGGTGACCACCCGGAGGGAAGAGAGGCTGAAAATGCAAGCGGATGGGAGGGAAGTCTGAGCTCTCCCCAGCTCCAGAGGTGGAAGCAGCTGGATTCACCTCACTGATACACACTCATTACAGAGCTGTAGCATGGATGCTATTCGGATCTCCCGTCTTCGCTGTTCAGAGTTCGGTGCTTGCTGAGTGCAGGGAGAAGTAGTGCACTCCACCCCACCCCCACCCCACCCCCAAATAAGCCGGCTCTGTGCACCTGCTCCCCTACCTCTTTCCTCTGGGAGAATGCCCTGATAGCTAGCCAGGTGTCCAAAGGAAAGTCGAATGCTTTCTGAGATGAAAAAAAAAAAAAAAAAAAAAAAGAGGGAGGAGGAGGGGACGGGAGGTTTTATATAGTCAGTTTGTAAAAGAGAAGAATAAATACCCCAGAAAAAAAACCCAGAGCAGCAAAAGAAAAGCCCGCCCGGGAATCTGTCAAGGTCCTCACAGTGTGATTTTCTCTCTGCCTCAGCGCCTCCTCCTCCCCTCTAAGTGACGCAGATGTGCACTGGGGCCTATACTAAGAGATGGAGGGAGGGAGGGAAGGCTTCAATCTTCTTTATGCAAGTGAGTCTGCTGTTCTTATTGTCCCCTTGCGTAAGTCCTGTCACCTTTTTTCAACCTCCTTCCCCTCTACATTACTGTATGGCAATAAAAGTAAGACAAACAGGCAAAATGCTTTAGCATCAGTAAACACCAAACATGAATCACGGTAGTGTAGTGTAAAGTTAATAGGCCACCGCGGTGTGCAGGTTGCAGGTTAATGGCTTGAATTATTTAATAAGCCACATCCTTTAACCTTTAGCCTCCTTTCCTCTATAGTGAGACATAGAGAAAAATAAGCGATGCTGTCATCAAAGTGTGATGATGCCATCCTCCTGGCACTTCTGTTGTGATTCTGATACTAATTCACACAGACAGTGCTTCATCCCCAGGGGCCAGAGACTCAGGGTTAAATTTGAAGATAGGCTGAATATCAGCCACAGGCTGGGCAACATCATTATTTGATGGAAGCTTCGGAGGAAAATCAGTTTGTGCTACACCATAAAAATGTGATGAAATGATAACGGAACATTTAAAAGAATAACTTCTCTTAAACTACCATGGTATTACATGCACAGAAGAGTGTGAGCAATAAATAGCAAAACCAAAGGCTACTATCCTGCATATAAATGTCTGGAAAGGAAAGCTAGGATTTTCCTTCAGAATGATGAAGACTGTGATTCCTTTCTATAAGAATACTTTGAGATGTTTTATCTTTTCCTTAATGAACCTTTGATCAAGGCTAGAGGATCAGGAAAGGTATGTGTTACCTACTCTTTCAACCAGGAATATAATAGTGTCCCTTTTGTGATTCATGGGTTCAATAACTTCCAACAAAGCAACTGAATCCAACACTACAGTGCAGTTACATTCCCGTTCTATTACCCCATTGTTGAAGAACAAACTTATGTAGAAATCCAATTAAAACTGGAAACCTTCCTTAGATGGAATTGAACATCTTAATGAAATAAGAAATTCAGATCACAAAGGACACACATTCAAAGAAAAAACAATCTCCATCATTGTGTGTTTAAATATTGATTTATGCAGAAATCATACTGCAATGCCCTTGTGCTTGGATTTTTCTCTCACTATTCAGTAATAAAAAACAACAACAAATGCAATGACCTTTGAAAGCAAACAATGGTGACAGATCATTCTTATTCAAGAGTGGAATCAAGTATTACCCTTAGTAAAACTTCAGGAATTCAAGCATATGAAGCTACATGTTATAAACAGGACATAAACTTATCCTCCATCAGAGATAATGTGGAAATTTGAATTTCCTCCAATTAATTGCTTTCTGTATTTTCCAACTTGACTTTTTCAAATTATGTATACGAATCTACGTTTACTTCATTAGCTATTACTTAATGCCATAATAAACTACTGGAATATAAAATTAATTTTAATAAGAAATTTGATTCTATAGTCTCACTTTTCTAGGAAATTCTGATAGTGCTCTCCACAGTTTAAATTTTATACCTTTACAAGTCAATGTTTTATATGACTTGTATGATACTTAAGGTTGAATTTTGATGTACATGGAGATGAATTTAGACTATTATGCCATACATAGTAGATAGTTATTGTAACCAGACTTTGGTCCAGACATACTATGGTGGTAGACTTATGGTAAAGTTCACTAATTTTAAAACTTTGTCACTACTTATATTAATATAACTACATTTTTATTTGTATCTCTCTAATCTGAAAATAGTGTATATTTGAAATAATTATCCATCCAAGAAAGATATATGAAGTCCCTTAACCTGGATTACCAAATCCAAACATTAGAAATTACAAGTAAACTTTTCATGAAATCTAGTCCAACAGAAATGATTGGTAAATCTTGCCATGGCCTACACAGCCATGGATACCATAGCACACATGGGAAAGAGGGTAATGGTAGGCAGAGACACCAGACCATGTATTACAGGGCAAACAAATTTTATATTTCCCATTGCTGGTATATTTTGTTTAGCAAGCTATTAGAGATGGTATTGCAACCAAACATTAAGCAGTTTCTTTAATCCCCTTAACTAAATCTTCTATACTTCCCTGCTATTGTGGCCTCTTTTGCCCCTAGAAACATTCCTCTTAGTCTGAATCTCATGCTTGCAGTTTGCTCTGAGCCAAGGAGTTACTCCTGGCTCAGGATTTGTTCTTGATAAGGAAACTGCAGAACATCTGGATATTTCTGAAATAATTACCTTTCGTTAATATAATTACCAAATCCAAAGATTAGGTCTTAAAGATTTGTTCATTTTCTTTTTAATCAGATTAAATTGAAATGATTGAAAAATATGACAATTCTATTTTTCTATAAAGAACTTTTGAAAAATAAAGACGGGATACAGGAAGGAAGGGAAGAAAAGAGGAAGAGAAGGAGGGAGGGAGAGAGGAAGGAAGGAAGGAAAGGAAGAAGGAACACGGGAGGGAAAGTGTGAAGGGCAGACATGAGGAGGTAGGGAAAGCATGTAGAGAGGAATGAAGGAGAAAGAAGAATGATTTGCTTGAGTCTCATTTTTTTTAATACTACAAACATCTTTCAAATATATATTTTTAAATATCTGACTATTTTTCTATTATTCAAAACTTAATTACAACCTACCAGATCAATTTATAGTAACAATAATGATGAAAGAATTGCCTCCTTAAAGCCTGTTGGGTGTTTTCACAAAAAAAAAAAAAAAATAAAGGAAAATATTTAGCTTGTCCTAGTTCATAAATGACTTATGAGTCAATTGAACTAAGATTTAACACGAGCATTCTTACATGAACACTAACATGGGTCGCTGATGTTTAAAATACTAACAACAACACTACAGAGTATTAATCCTGGCATTTGTGATGTGTGCCTTTAATCCCAGCACTCAGGAGGCAGAGGCAGGTGGCTCTCTGTGAGTGCAAGGATAACCTGGTCTAAAGAGTGAGTGTCAGGACAGGCTCTAAAGCAACAGAGAAAAACCATGTCTCAACCCTCTCCCCCCACAAAAAAAGACAAATAACCAAACAAAAAACACTAAGGAGTATTTTAAGACAAAAGGGATTCTTATTTTAACACTATTGTGGTCATAAATTGAACTTATATTCAGTCAATCAAGGTCTTTTAATGAGTATCCACATGATTGCTACAGTTGTCATATAATCCAAACCAAAACACAGAGAATATATCACTAATTACCACAGCATTCAGATGTTAAACTGATCACACAAAAATTAAATCACACTCTGTCCTTTAAATGTAACAGTTGTAAACGCTCTATATGTCAAATATTTGTGGAGTAAGAAAACATAGATTTGGATGTAAGGCATTTCTTGACTAAACCTTTTTACTTTTCCTAATTATTTTTACCAATAAAATAGTGTTTATTTAAGAAGAGTGGCTCTGTTTCTCTTAGAAATGTTTGACATCCATTTTACAACATCTCTGTAGTTGTTCTTAAATAATAGTATACAAGAATAATATTCTAACAAACGTTACATTGAAAAGCTATTGTTTTCAGAAGGACACTACAATTTCTTTTTAAATTAATGTTATTGAAATAGGTATTGATGGTAATAAATTATTTCAATTAATAAATGCCAAGTAAAGTAAGCAAGATTATTAATTGAATCAAGATAATTTTGTAATGGTTCTTCTCAAAAATGTTTGAAACAGTATTTCATAATCTTTAATTATTCTATGTAATGTCAAGAACTTCTATTAAAATAATAAACACAATATCAGAACATAATTCAGGCCTATTAAGCTTCATCATGGTATCACTGTGTCTTATAGTTAAGTAGCAATTATGTCACAACTTAATAAAGCCTTAGAAGTGTTAATTGCTCCTCAGGGACCATTTTTATTCACTCTATCTCTGGTTACTTGACCTTTTGATTTATAGGTAATAATTATGAGTGAAGACTTCTTATGCAAGTTAGTAAATGAATTGCATAAATGTATGAAATCAGAATAATATTTTAAGATAATTCATATTAAACCCCATGCTTTGTCTCTACCTGGTTCCCATGATACTGTGAAGAAATTTCAAGATAATTTAAGGGAATTCATTGTTTTCAAGGTTTTAATTGTTTCTTATCTGATTGATGACATACTCAGGGAATTTAATTCATGCA